TTTCCAAAGGAAAAAAAAAAATACCCACTTTCCTTTCACCACAGAGAAAGAGAATTCAGAAATGACCACAATTTGGAGAATATAAATCTGTCTCTCTCTGGCTAGGTATCTTCACACTAAAGCATCCTGAGATGGGGTATATGCAGAAGGAGATGGTGAAAGGGGGAGAGGAGGAGGCGACATGTTCAGGGAAGGAATTATGCAGAAGTTCACCTGCTGTTGTCACGATCAAGACATGGAGAGATGCGGCTGCAACAGAATAGATACTTTAGCACAGAGAAGGAATGGATAAAGTGAAATATAAAGAAGGAAATCAGAAGTGACTTTCAACCGAAATATATTACTTATACACCAATACAGTATTCACTGAAAAAAGATGGAAATACAAATGAAATATAGCTCTATGCAAATGCGGAGAGAAGAGCAAGGTATGGGGGTTCGCAGTGACTCCCAGTTCAGGGAACTGGGGATGTGATAAAATCACTGGATTTGGATTTGTAGCCTTATTCAACACTGGCTGGGGGAAGGTCATGTAACAAAGTCTGAGTGTCCCAGGGAAGTTGCCAAACACCAAGGGGCACTGCAATAAAAATCACAGTCTTTGATTTGATGGACATAGTCTCCAAACTTTTCAGTCATACTTTTAATACTTTCAAAATAATGGTAATGCCCTTTTGGTCTTCTTCCAAAGAAATGCAAGCAGAAAAGGCACAACTTAAATAGCTTCAATGACAAACAGTCGCATCAACTATAAGGTAGAGCAGGTAACATTAATTACCTACTAGCAGGTAACAAAAAACTATGCTTTTTTCAAGACTTTCATTCCCTGATTTGTGGTTTACTGTTCTCACTGGCCACACTGTCTAGTCCCATTTTCTAGTCCTTTCATGCCTCTTCACCCTGAGTCTGCTTTTCCACAAAACCCTCCGTAAGTTTTCATATGATTCACTTGTGTTTTCAACACTTGACAATATACAAAGGGATACATGTTTAATGGACCAGAAATCCAGCCTTACAAAACAGTTGTTCTGCCACTCAGAAAATAGTTGTCTTCATCCAAAAGAATTTACCCTCATGTACCTTAAGAAACTGGGTTGTCTGAAATACATAAACAACTAAGTTCACTGCTATAGGAATTTGATAAATATTGTCAAATGAGAAACAGTCTTGATTTCCTTGCCTTTCTAACGTCACCTTCCACTATTTGAGCTAATTACCTTCATAAATGTTTTTGTTGACTTTTTTTTAGAGTAGTTTCAGATTCACAGCAAAAATTGTCACCATGTTTTAATGAAAAAGGAGTCCTTTAAAAGATCACTCTCTTATAGGTTTGTAGCTCCTGTAATATATTTGAGCATAACATCACGAAGTGGCATTTAATTGTTGGCACTGGCTGTCATTAAAGGACTATAAAAATAATACCACTGAAATAATAACATTTAAAATGAATCACAAAACTATTACTAGAAACTGTGCCTTATTTGTTAATTCATTATGCACTTATGAAATGGAGGAGAATTAAAAACTTCAAATTCTTTGCCCAAGCTTATGTTGGTATACTCATGACTGGTCTTGCTAGAAATGACTGTTTAGATTGTGAATCAGTAACACGATCCAAAGAACAGCAACAAAAATATTACTGTCAGCCTTTCTTTCGCCAGATATTGGCTGTATATACTGGGTGCAGATTTTTTTTTTAAGCACTGATACCTACTCTTTTGTAGTCATGGACATTAGTCATTGGAAAAATAGAGCAGAGGTTAAAGAAAATTACTAATACTACTTTTGGTAGAAAGTGTGCCTTCTATTAATCTAAAAGCCCTTTATGGAATCAAATAGAACATTATACATAAAATTAGAGGCATATGCAAAAAAACGCTGACTTTATTATCCCCTTTATCTAAAAATCAACTATTCCTTACATTTTGGGCAGATTTGGAAGTGACTTAAGAATTCTCCCTATCAATTAAAAACTTAGTTCCCTAAAAACTATATAAAAATGACTACACGGGTGCCTGGTGTATAATGAACAAAATGAAAAAGAGAAATTATAGATGATATGATATAATGAATGTTATTCATATCCTTTAATATCATGGTAGCTTTCAAATACCATGACACTCAAAATCCTTGTGTTCAGTGTAATTACTCATCCCATTAGAGGCATCTGTGGCATTGCATTCAAATTCTAGAGACCTCACTAGATATTATCTAATAAAAATAACAAGTCAAATATTACCATTATGAATTATACTAGAGTGGTATTGTCACTTGAAGTATTCTGAATACATTCTGCTTATTTGAAATTTGTGAAGGATTTAGAAGGTGTATATGAGGGTTATATAAATACTAATAGCTATAATTTATTGAGTACGTATTCTTTCAAGGCAAAATGCTAATTATTTAAGAGGCATGGAATCCATAAAGCTCCCTTATGGGATCCATAATATAACACTCATCTTATAAACTGAAACTTATAGATAAATTATGTAAATAGATATTTTACATAACTTGCCCAGTGTCCTTGCCCAGTGTCAGGGCTGGGAACTGAATTCTGATTGGTCTGACTCCAAAGCACACTTTGGTTAGTGTTTGAATAACCAACATGTTATCTGCCTTCCACTGATTGTCTTCCAACTTCAAAAACAACAGAGAGGTGTGTTTCTTAAAAGTAGAGGTTAGATCTTACTTATCTATTTTCCTTAGTGCCTGACACAAGGTTCAGTACTTTGTAGAATTCAGCAATGTGTGAAGAATAAATAAGTGAATGAAAGGGATAAAAAAACATTTGAGAGAGGGGCGCCTGGGTGGCGCAGTCGGTTAAGCGTCCGACTTCAGCCAGGTCACGATCTCGCGGTCCGTGAGTTCGAGCCCCGCGTCAGGCTCTGGGCTGATGGCTCAGAGCCTGGAGCCTGTTTCCGATTCTGTGTCTCCCTCTCTCTCTGCCCCTCCCCCGTTCATGCTCTGTCTCTCTCTGTCCCAAAAATAAATAAACGTTGAAAAAAAAAAAAAATTAAAAAACATTTGAGAGAACTAAGTATATGTTAATTACCTAGATCTCCCTGGTAATCAAAGCTTTATTAGGCAAAGTTGTTCCTTTCTAACAGTTTATGTATAAAACAGACATATTTGGACTACTGGTGCTGGTAGAAAATGCCAATGCTGAGACCCCAACAACAGAGATTTAAATGTAATTAGTTTGAGTTGGGGGCCTGGGTATCAGTATTTTTTAAAGCTCTGAGGGGATTCTAATGTACAGCCAGCGTTGAAAATTGTTTAGAATCAATGATCATGTTTGAAGTTTATAGAAAAATTGGCTTATTACAGACCAAGAGTTTAAACATCCTTATCTTAATAAGTGGTTAATTTTTAACCAGTGGATGATCTTGTTTCATCATAAGTAATTAACTAGAATTACTTACGGCATGTTTCTAGTTTTATACAACTGGTGTGTATATTGATGTACTTAAGCTGAATAGTTTATTGCCCTTCAGTAGTTAAAAGGTTTAAGGAATTCCTTTTTTAAAGTAAATTATTTATTCTGAAAACTGAAGTACTACCATAACACTTTGACTCCTGTAAATTCAGCTATTGATATTTAATCACACTTTGCCTAAAATAATCTTGTCACTTTGTAGGCTGGTATAGACTTCAAATATTTTATTGTGATTTCTAGATTCTGATCTATTGTCCTTCAGTACTCTAGGTCCAAGACTCTTTTCCTCCTTAGCATTGTTGAGAAATCTGGTAGAAGAATGTAATGTTATGTCTTTAGAATAATGATAGCTGTCAGACTTTAATTATCTCTTTTACACCTAAAAAAAGTTAGTAAATTTGGATGATGTTTAACTTGGTTTTTATTCACTTGAAATAACTCTTGTATCAGGAACTGCCTTTTACTTATTTAAAAAGGAAAAGAATATTATGATTATTTTCAATATCTATGTAACTAGTTTTAAATTCTATGAGCCTGTAGTAGAAAATTAGACTACAAGATCCCAAATTTTTAACTACAGTATCTTCGAATGCTTTTCTGAAAGGAGAATATTTTAGAATAATAAAAATAAGAAAGGATCCACCACTCAAAATAGTTCCAGGGATTATGGATAAGGAGTTTGGGATAATAATTTATATTAAAGTATTGCACGGATAAAATACAAGTGAGGCTTCTTTAAATGAAAATGGAAATGATTAAATGAAAAATATTTTTAAAGCTTTTATGTAGTTATAAAATTACTATACAAATTGAAACTACCAAAATGTAAGGGAATAATCTTTTGCAAAGAGTGAAACAATTTAAAACTCCTTAAGCAAATTATTTTCTGCATAACTTAATTCTTACATCTTACGAACATCTTTAAGTATGTTCAAAATTATTAACTCTAAGTAATCCTACTTTTTAATGGGTTTATACAAAGAGGCAGCATTTCATGCATAATGACTTATATATTATCTGGATAACTTTTAGAAGGTGACTGAGAACCTGACAGGTTGCATTAAAATTTCCCTTTTTGGTACACCCCTACTTCAAACAGTATATGAACTCTTCTATCTGTGTGATCCAAACGTCTGTAAACATTATTTTAAACGTGTGAATATGTGAGGAAAGGCATTTATTAAACTAGTCCGTTAACCTTAGAAAAACAGAACTTTCTAGAAAGCAAGTGATCCTGTCCCTCTTTTTAAAGATATCTTTCAGACAAAATGTGAACAGTAAGGAGGCCACTGGTATATTCTGGTTAGTTAGCAAGCTGTCTGATGCAATTCTACTAGTTATTTTAAAACAACAGTCAGTTTTTCTATGCTGAATTCAACTCTTTGGGCAGGTTTGTTTGTGTAGATCGAGTCCATGTTGGATAAAGCAATGTTATTTACAAGTTTAAACAAAGGTCACTTCCCCTGTAAGCTAGCCATCAGCTAAAGCTACTGGACAAAGCTGTTATTTTCAAGCTCATCTCTTTTTACCTCTCGATCTGGATACATAATATTGATTTACTCACCCTGAATGAATAGGGCTGGAAGAAAGAGCCACGTTGTCTAAGTTCTCAGTGCCCCAGCTGAGGCGATAAGAATTCCTTTCTGCTTCCTTGGCTAGAGTTGACACCTAAATACAAAGAACACGGGATTTAACAAAAATACTTTCTTCCAAGTGAATAAAATATAATGAACTCTAAAAAGTATCACAGGAAAGTGGTATTACCACCTTTTCATTTAAAAATATAAGACCAAGTCATTTAAAATGCATGTTTTATAATGCATTCCCATTTAAATTACACTGTTGACATAAGACCACATTTGTGAAATTGTCTTTAAAGATAGGTATTCCCATCTATTTCTCTATATCCAACCAGCCAAAACTGATAAAATCACATCTAAGATTAAAATATTCCATAATTGCCTCTCCCTGTTTTCTGGGAACTGAAAACAATTTTAAATATAAGGTAAATATAATAGCTTTACCTGTACCCTTCATTTTATACCTTAAATGCATCCTATCTCACTTTTTCCTTTAACAGATATTTTATGAAGAAATCGATTTAATGTATAATTTCCACAGAAGAATTAACATGCAGCATATCACTTTGGAAAAGTCCTCAGACTCTTATCCTAGCTTGTCAACCACATTAAAAGGATTTTCTTTACACAAAAAAAACTTTCTCTGGACATCTTCAGCAACCAGTAATGTTCAAAAGCTCTCCAGAAAGTTGAAACGTCAAAGTGAAAAGTCACGTACCTGGTGACTGGGGATGACAACCGTGTCGTCAATCATGGCACTGTCCCTCAGGTAAGAGGCATGGCTCAGGGTGTGAGACCTGTCGGAACTGAAGGATCGAAGGCTGGTAGGTTGGCAGGAGGCCATGGTCATGTACCAACAGCAGTGGCAGGGTTGGGAGGATGGAAGGATGAGCCGAGCAGGAGAGTGAAAAAAGCCTGCTATTAGCTAACAGTGCAACTTCCAGGGGGACATTAATCGCAACCATGGGAGAAGGAAACCCAGGTCTCTGTGTTGCCCTACCTTTCTGTCCAACAACTAAACTAACACATCTTTTGACTGGTTCCTACCACTCAATGGCAAGGGCACAAGGGAATCCAGAAGTGAAAATTTGATCCTTCTAATCTGATTTATTTTCCTCCCAGAAGTGTTTGAAACCAGCCACTGTAGTTTACTTACTGCCAGGACAAGAAATTCACACAGGAAATAATGCCAGAATAGGTTGCTTAAATCTGTGTTAAATGTTAATCTCCCTGCAACTAAGAAAAATATTAGGGGGGGGGGGCGGGGAATAGACCACCCTCAGAGAGAACAAAATGAAAGCACAGGTTTCATTTTCTCTCATTTTTCCATTCTCTCCATGCTTCATTCTCCTCCTCTCCAACTGTGAATGACTCAACACTGGTGCACTCCCCTGGAAGGTACAGAGTGAAATGAACTGTGACCAGATGCATGCTTCCTGCGGAAGTGGAGTTCCTCTTGTTTGTCTCTGGTGTCTCCAACAATGCTATTTCAAAGGGCAGCATTGTTCCCTTTGCATGTCCTCTGTGTGGTGAGTGAAGCACCAAAGAGTGCCGGTTGCTGTGGCGATGAGATGCAAGAGCACAAGAAACCGTTTCTAAGCACCAACCAGAACACAGACACATCTGCCAGCACAAAAACAAACTGCCAGTGGACACAACCGAAAAATGAGGCTTGCTTTCAAAATGGGATTTAGGCCTTGATAATTGATGCTGTATATTTTTGATAAATCTGAATTTCAAACTTCGGAATGATATACGCAAATGTGATGGGTAAAATTTGACATTTGCATAAGTGCAATTCATTCCTTCCTAATCAATTTGCACAATCAAATGACACATAGATTGAGATCTCATATAAGCTCATATATTTTACACGTGTTAGTCTAAGAATTAAATAATCTGTATTCAAAACATTAGCCCAAAGCCCATAGGGAAAAATAGAGATGTGCAAGCTTTCACAATATTTATAGAAGCAAAGTTTCATTTACTTTCAGCTAGTAGGCATTTGGCCAGTGAAGCACTGTAGAATTATGGACTAAATGTCAGGTTAGCATATTTCTGAGCAAAAGCTATTTTCATTTTGCAAATATACCTATTTCTGTAAGCCTTATAACTGTCATTTTTATGAAGTGCCAATATAGCCAACTTCAATTATCTTTGAGGAAATCATCATTTGGTAGATAATTCATAGGAAGTTAGGGCCTTCACCCTCTTATCCTGCTGTAGGTTTTATGCCCCTAAAATAGACCTGGAATATCAGAGGGTAAAGTGATGTGAAGCAAAGCAGCCGATTGTCAGATCATATATAAATGTGTGTTTATAATACAAAGAAATCTAATTTGGGAATTCACTATTTTGTGTTTTATAGGCTCTCGAAGATTCAGGCTCCAGACACAGCAAAGGCAGGAGCAGCCCAGACACCTTAGTGAGCCCATCCATAGGGGTTTTAGTCCTGGCAGCTGATATTGGGGCTGGTTTTACAGTTGTGCAGTTGGGATTTCGATGGTGTACTTCACAAACAGGCTTCAGGCTACTATGATTAACTTTGGCCTAACCTTGAATTTGAGGATGAAAAGAGATTAAATTATTGGGGGAAAGGATCTGTAATCTCAGCAAAAGCTCGTCTCAACTGCTGAGTAAATTTTTTTTTCCCTGCTTTAAATCATGAAGATAGCTAAGATCCACTTGTATATGTTTTGTACCAGGCAGCAAGAGATATGTAGGTCTTAATTCTACTTTGCTTTATTTTGTTTTGAATTTGGCCAAGAGAAGGGAAAAAGGAGGTGTGAAGGATCAGCTTCCTGAAATGATAGGTCTGTCTATAGGGTCAACCATCTTCCCCTGTCAGGTTCTTACCCGGCTCAGATTTGTTAATTACATTAGCTCTATCCATGGCTTTAGAATTCAGAGCTCCATGTTGTAACTTTACACATGTAAATGTGCTAGATCTATATGAATGAATAGTGCAAAAGGAGCAAGAGGCATTGAGGTACAGGATTAGACATGCCTGCTCACAACAGCGAGTAGAGACTCTGGCAGTAGGTAGAATTGACTCCTAAATGTGACACTGGAATAGCGGAAACACAGGTCTCAAAGAGAAAGTGGAAATTTAGCTTGGATGGGAATAAACTGGCAATAAAGGTACATGAAATAAGACCTAGTGGCATAACTGCCATCACTATAAAGGTCTGAACTTTGAAAGAAGGCAGTTGGGTCTCAATTGCCACACTCAGGGTGATCCTATAACTCGGTGGATGTCTGTCTGCTTGGGAATGAAGTCTTAAAGAACTCATTCGGCTGCAAGTACAGAGCTGCATTTTGCAATCTATGCATCAGTAATAAAGGTGGATTGTTTTGATATCTATCTACTTGATACCTGGGTCTATCTCTTAACTGGTTTGAATCAGAGGGCCAAAAGAGTACTGGTGTTTTTTGTTTTGTTTTGTTTATCTTTCCTAAAGCCTCAACAGAAAAGAAATACAGAAGGAGAAAGAAAAAAACAAAAGAGATACAGTTGACTTACAACCAAAGATGAGATTAGGGTAGAGAGAGAAAAATATTAGCATATGGAAACAGAGAGTAAGAAAAGTTGGAGAGACAGAGGGAGGGAGAATGAATGAGTGAGAACGAGGCCCAAATATCTCTATGATTTTATTCTGTCTTACTGTTTGCTGCCTTCTAAAATGCTAACTGGGTATTCAATCAACGTTTATAGTTTCTAACTGCTCTTGTCTCTGATATATAGAATTTACTTAAATAAATAAAATTAGAATATTCCAACAGTGGAGAAATTATTCTAGTGAAATAATGACCAGCACAAATGTCTGGAATAATTCAAGTCTCTACCCTGACTGAAAACATTACAAACAGGTTTAAATGTTTTACAATTCATTTTTGTCATAAACTCAGAGATCATGCCATTCAGTTAATAAGGTCAAAATAACACGTATCCATAGAAGTGTGAATTTTTACTTGCTGTTCAGCTAGGGATTGTGCCAAAAGTTCTGTTATGGTCTTAAAATTATACTTTTTTCCACTATAGTAAACTACTTTATGGACACAATAGGTAGTATCAAAGTCTGTAATTTCACTGAAAAATGTAATAATTACTACCTTAGTATGCTGTACTATTAGTCAATTAATGAAGTTTTTCAACCCTACTGAACAAGTGAATATCCAAAAATGTTTACGCTTTATGTGCTTTATTGTCTGTAAAAGCTTCTGTGGTTCACTGTTACTTAGTGTTTTACATTAAATTTAAATGGCATTTTTAATTTAAAAAAATAATACTATGGACACAACATCTAATCAGAATTTGGATATATTTTTAGGAATGTACATTAAATTGTACTTATTTTTGTTCTCCTGCATCCAGGTACATTTTAGGCATCAGAATCGTTTTTCTACCATTTTCAACTACACACAAGGCTGACTAGGTTCCTTTGGAGAAGCCATGCTAATGTTTTATCAGCCACAAGGTGGAGCTGTGATGTTAACACAAAATCATACCAGGGGCATGTCATAGACTTTTATTCTAGTAATATATTTACCCTTGTAGCTTAGTTATTCAGTACATCAAAATTCTAATTTGAGAATAAATCCATAATTCTAGAATATAAGCACCCCTTGCCCACACACACACACACACACACACACACACACGAAAAGTGAGCAAGGAAATGTGGATGTATCCAGGAGGATCATGTCTTCATGCTATTTAATACCTACCTGGGCATGGTACTATTGAAAGCATACCAAATAAATAATGAAAAGTAAAAATGGTTACAAAAAAAAAAAAAAAGAAAGAAAATTTCCACTTAACTGCCTAAGCAAAATTAAAAAAACAAAATCAGTGAAACAAGAATTCCATGAAAATGAGATGTTGCCTGTAATTCCATGTTGGAGATCATGAATACAATCTGGGGTCCCATAAATGCAAGTGTGGACCTAGAGAACTGACCATGACGTATTCATTTTATTGCCTCATTTTAAATGCTGATAAGTGTTCAGTTTAAGAGGAATCATTAAACCTTTGACCCCTGTTTTATAGATAGTATTGTTCCAAATTTTTCTTAACCTGGTACTTTCAAAGAAAGAAAAAGAATCAGATTAAGAATTTATTCTTAGGAAAATAGAACAGGCTTAAAATAAAGGTTTTTTTTTTTCCTCTGACACTGATATGATTATGTATAGATTATTATGAATCTGTGCAAAGCCATAAACATTTTATTTTTTTTTGAAATCTCAAGTCTTTTATTAAGAAACTTCAGATTGTGATGTCCTAATGTACCAGGACGTCAGAATCCAATTATAAAACACTGGCTCCATCATGAGCATTCCCACTCTCATCCCTGAGTGCTCCTCCTTCTGCCTCTTGACCCCATGGACCACCTTCTATCTATGTCATTGAAGCCAAGGGGTCAGTCTAATCTTCTTCCTCTTCTTCACCCACTCCGTGAAATCCGTCACCAAATCTGGCTAGTTTCACCTCATGGATAGGCTCTATCTATGACAAATTTGAATTTGTCATTTCCCAATTTCTCTCCATGATCACTACCACCAGGGTTAAAGTTCAAATCTTCTCTTAACAGCTTCAATTAATATTACTGCAATAGTTTTTCAGGTGGTCCCAACTGCCAGGTTTAGCCCTTTGACAACTTCTCCCTAAAATTCACCCTTAATCTCACAGTCAGAGGGATCCACCCAAAATGTAGACAAGATCTCCCCTCCTTCACACTTATACTCTAGCAACACTGCACTATACTCTTTCTCTCACACACCATGGGCCTTTGCTCATGATCTCATTAAGGCTTCAAATGCCTTTCCCACTCTTCTTCACCATCATTAGCCATCACTGTGTTTCAGTTTGGGCTCATCTCCTCCAGGAAGCCTGAGCGCTGGGGTTTCAATTGCATTCTGTGGGTACTACAGCCCAGTCTCTCTCACATCCCATTCGACTATGATTTTAGCAATTGTGTCCTAGTCATGTTTGTACCTCTAGCAACCACCACAAAGCCAGCCCAGAAAGGCACTCACTACATGCACATTGAATTGTTTAAGAAAAAGAGAAAAAATAGGGAGGAGGCATTGATGCTCAAGGAAAAACCCCCAAGAAAACTTGTTTTTGCTAATTATCCATTTAGAATTGACTACGTTTTAAAGTATTTATTTCCTAGGGGCACCTGAGTGACTCAGTCAGTTAAGCGTCCAACTCTCAATTTCGGCTGAGGTCATGATCTCATGGTTTGTTGAGATCAAGCCCCACATACGGCTCTGTGCTGACAGCATGGAGCCTGCCTGGGACACTCTCTCTCTCTCTCTCTCTCTCTCTCTGCCCCTTCCCCACTCATTCTCTCTCTCTCAAAATAAACAAACATTTAAAAAATGAACTTTAAAATGTCTATTTCTTAGACTCCGTATATGTTAACTATAGCTTAGCAAACAGCCAAGATTAAAACTACAAACCTAAGATTATTGATTAGTGAAAAACACGCTATGTGGACAACCATATGCTTAACCTAAATTGGCAGTCATTCTTTTGATGAGGTACCATGGAATGTTCTTCTGCTTGCCTCAAAAAATAACCAACACCAGTTATGCTAGTAAGTAACAGTCAGAAAATAACACTGATTTTATACTTCAGAGTATTATATGAACCTCTTCAGATTTGTCTACAAAACCTATGCTCCTTCATATTTTTCTCAGATTGCTTTTTGTATTCAAGTTCTTGGAGGACTGTGGTCTCGTTATTTTTCATGAAGAAGTCAGTTTCAGGCACAGGTTCCTTTTGAATTTACTTCTTTTTAGTCCTTCTTCACAACATACTTCTATTCACAGAAATTATGGCACTAACAAAAACACTCTAGGAAACTGCATGTGTCTGTAATTGCCACGTAGTTAGCCTGTCCATAAGGTAAAACTGGCCTTTTTATTTGCCTAGAGAAAAAAGTGGCAAATAATTAAAACACTACATTGAAAAGTAGAGATTTCTTTACTTATCATTTCTCTGCTTTTTACTGGTCGTTTGACTTTTACTAAGTAACTTAATCTCTTTCGACTCAGTTTCCTGTTCTTTAAAATAGGCACTTAAAGTTGCTCAAGGGGTGTGCCTGGGTGCCTCTGACTCTTGATTTTAGCTCAGGTCATGAGCTGATTTCACAGTTCATGAGATGGAGCCCTGCATTGGGCTCAGTGCTGTCAGCACAGAACCTGCTTAGGATTCTCTCTCTCCCCCTTTCTCTCTCCCTCTCCTCTGCTCTCTCTCACTCTCTTTCAAATAATAAATAAACTTAAAAAAAAGCTGTTCAAGAACGCAGTAAGGTAACATGCTCAGAGCTGTTATGTGCAGTCCCTGTTTAGGTATCAATAATTATGTCTACTTGTTTATTATTATCATGAAAAAAGTGTTGCATTCCCTCCTAGCTGACATCAAATGTAAGCTTTAGGTGAATACCTGTCTGAGCGGGCTCCCTCCAAGCTGTATCGCAGGTAATTCATACCATCCAGGAACTGGCTGCTGGGTAGAGAGTCATCACCCAGCTCTTTCAGATCCTCGGGTCTTAGGTATTCTCCTCCATCACCTGTCATTGTGTCATCACCTTGAAGCAACCAGAGAAAGACAAAGAATTATGCGTTGAATGTAATATTAACTACAAAATAGGAGGATTGTGGAAAATACCAGCATAATAGCACTGACATCACTGAAACACCACACACCAAAGAAAACAACGCATGCAATTAAAAAGTGATAAAACTTAGAGAAACAATATTTGACCCACTTCTATCGCTTACCAAGAAGAAATAATTACCCGAATTCTAATTCTCTTAATATCAGTCAGTTCTCTTTACTCATTTCTTCATCACTCATTTCTTTACTCATTTTCTTTAGCTGGCTTATAGCTTATATTATTTAACTTAGTACAATATGTAGGCTGCTTAACTTCTACACACAGTTCCAATAATTTTGTACATGACGTCCAGCATTAACATTCTCTTCATGTCATTGGCAATATGCTAAGTAATATCTACTGCTCTAAAACAAATCTGTGGTATATTAAAGGAAGGGATATAATTTATAAGATTAGCAAGATATGCACATTAGGGAAAGAACACCAGAACAATGTGAACAGATTGTGACATTTTAATAAACAACCTTGAATTTAATTTTAAAAACATTGGAGAGCATAAAAATATGTTTTGTTGGAAACTAGATGGCTTCCCAAAGGTGAACTATAGGGAAAAAAGTGAATTAAGTAACCAAGTTGTAGCAGAAAGAGATGACTAAGTGTGGTGGCTAATATTTAGAAGGCCAAATGTTAAGGGTACATCCCCTGCCCATGATTAGGAATAGGATGCTTTCAACAATATCTTTTTCAGGTAATTCAATAAATAATACCCCATTCACAGAAATGTTCTATATGCCATTAACATGCTGAGATGGAGAAATAAATAATATAGCTGAGAGAAACTGTCTTTGAGGACTCTGAGACACTATCACACACTTTAAGCCTCATAATCTATGTAAAGGAAAACTTGAAAGAATGGACTTTATTCCTACAACTAAGTTAAATATTGTTTTATTCTCATTTGTTTCAAATAATTGTTCCAAATCAACACTAATTTATAGAGATACAGCATTAAAGAACTGTAAGAAGGGTGGGTCTTTGACATTTCATTATATTTGTCTGTATATATGATTTTAAGATCTCAGATTATTAGGTCTCTAAATTACTTAAAACTGATGACAGACTGAAAAAAAAAGATCTTTCAGTAAATAGGGACGTAACTTATTCACCATTAGATTTTCGTCTTAAAATCAATGCATTTAACATTTGACAGTTACAAGTTTCACATTAAAAATATTTTCATGGCTCTTTCAGGGACACCATTAGATTTTTATTGAGTTTTAGCACTCTGAGTTAGGATACCCAGAGTATTATTAAAAATTGAGTCTTTAAGGGCACCTGGGTGGTTGAGTTGGTTAAGCATCCAACTCTTGATTTTGGCTCAGGTCATGATCTCATGGTTTGTGAGTTCAAGTCCCACATCAGTTTCTGTGCTGACCATGTGGAGCTTGCTTAGGATTCTGTCTCCTTCTCTCTCTGCCCCTCCTCCATTTGCTTTTTGTATCCTTCTCAAAAATAAAGAGAAATGAAACTTTCAAGATAAAATGAAAGTTGAGTCTTTAGAATTGGACAGACCTGGGTTCAAATTCTGATTCTGTTATTACTGGCTTGTTAATCTTCCAGAGCCTCAGTTTCCACAACTAGTAAATGGGAATGATACTAATAATCTATCACATATACTAGTTATATGAATTAAATAACACATAAAAATGTGTAATAAAATGCCAGAGTATAATAACTGCTAGCTATTGCTTCTACTAATACAAAATGGTGAACGTATTACACATTGAGCTAAATTTCATTTATGCAAAAATATTTTTAAATATATGTATTATAAAGAAATAGAATTTTATTGTTTAAAAATTCATAAATCTGATAGCTCTAAGGAAAACATGAGGTAAAGTTTTTAAAATTATGTTTGTTAAAGTGGTCTCCACCCCACCTCCAGCCCTTACATTATTTTCCTCTTCAAAGTGTTCCCTCACAAAGCAATATGTAACAACAGATAAATAACAATATAGTCAAAGACAAAATGCATGATGTTTGTCAACTTTAAGAACTAAAAAGGTCAGGGGGCGCCTGGGTGGCGCAGTCGGTTAAGCGTCCGACTTCAGCCAGGTCACAATCTCGCGGTCTGTGAGTTCGAGCCCCGCGTCGGGCTCTGGGCTGAGGGCTCAGAGCCTGGAGCCTGTTTCCGATTCTGTGTCTCCCTCTCTCTCTGCCCCTCCTCCGTTCATGCTCTGTCTCTCTCTGTCCCAAAAATAAATAAACGTTGAAAAAAAAATTTTTTTAAGAACTAAAAAGGTCAGGGGTGCCTGGGTGGCTCGGTTGGTTGAGCATCTGACTCTTGATTGCAGCTCAGGTCATGATCCCATGGGATCGAGCCCTGCATCGAGGCCCACGCTGAGCATGGAGCCTGCTTAAGGTTCTCTCTCTCTCCTCATCTGCCCCTCTCCCTCTCTTTCTCTAAAAAAAGAAAAAAAAAAAGAATAAGCCCAAAAGGTCAGAAGAGAGAGAGATCACTTTAGGATGATGTGGTAGGCTCAGTAGTCTCCTCCCTAAAATTTCATGTCCATTTGGAACCTGAGGATGTGGCATTATTTGGAGATATGTCCTTTACAGACATAACTAAGTTAAGGACCGAGATGAGATATACTGGATAAATCCAATGTGAACATTCATATAAGAGACAGAGAAAGAGACACAGAGGAGAATGCCATGTGAAAGCATGCCATATGAAGGTTGAAGCAATGTGTCTAAAAACCAAGGGATGAACACCAAGAATCACTGATAGCTACTAGAAGCTGGAGGAGACAAGAAAGACTCTTCCCTAGAGCCATCGGAGGTTAGTATGGTCCCACCATAGACTTTTCACTCCCAGAACTGTGAGAGGATAGGTTTGAGCCACTAAGTTTGTAGTAATTTCTTGTGGTATTCCTCGGAAATTCAGTAAAGCTGGTGAAGCACTCACTGAAGAAAGAATTGAAGCTGAGTATTTGTTCGGGCTCAGTTTTCATGGGCAGAGATTGTCAGTACTTCAGGAGAGAGGCTCATGTGTAAGGGGTCATGGAGGGCAGTAAAAACAATATGAAAGAGTAATAATCATCACTTACTTAGAGAATACTATGTGAAATAACTTGGCAATAGTACACGTTCATGTTGGTGAGCAATGGCAAACAGTCCAGAAAGAGAGTGTCTGAACATAGTGATAAAATCAAGAAGCTCAGACATTTTGTTATAGGCCTTGTAGGATTTATTTGTTCCTCCTATTTACCCCTCTCTTGTATGATTGGTACATTTTTACATAGGAGTGCTTTTATAAGTCCAACTAAGTTGGGTGCCCCTTTGTTTATTTCTGGGGGAAAAGATTGTAAGATCAATTCTAAGAATTGGTGTACCGAAACACAGGCTTTGTCTGGTTTGGCTATAAGCCTAAATTCTTTCCAGAAAAAAAAAAAAAAAAAGTACGCAAGTTTTGTTAACA